GAAGTGAAGAAATATTTGCTTTTGCTTCTCCTTGGAGGGCAGCCAGGTCCCTCCCCGCTCTCCTTAGCCTGCCAAGAGGGATTGCAAGAAAAGACGGGCTTATTGCAGCAGCCGAGGGAAGGGCCGGGCCCGGACGATGCAATTTGGAGGCGTACGATCCTCTTTGCCCTTTTGCCCTGCCACCGCGATAAAACACGAGAGACCTTGAGCGGGTTTTACCCCTGGGGGAGGCTTTGCGGGGGGGCTCTGCAAGATTTTTGGGGAGCTCCCAGGGCAGAGCGGGAGCTTCGTATTGCTCTGTGCGTGATTTCTACGTGCTTGGATTGCTCCGTGCGTGATTTCTACGTGTTTTATTTTTTGCTAGCGGAGCTGGGTGCTTGCAAAAGCGCTTGCAACGGGGCGAGGAGCCCAAGGTCAGGCTGAGCCGTCGCAGCCGACGTGGGCTTGCTCAATCCTCCCGGGGGAAAACACGGGGCCGTGCTTTTCAGGCTTAGCGATGCTCCCCAGGCCTCAGCTCGTAATGCTTCTCCCCTTATTGAAGAAGAAAATGGCTTAAATCGGTCTTTTATCATCTTACCCCGCCATCTCCAGCCATCCCTGGCCCTTGTCATCCTCCACTCCTGGAAAAATACACCAAACCTGACCACTTCTGCATCCCCTTCACCGCACCGCCAAACTCTCCAGCTGCGCCTTGCCCTTCTTCTCTCCCTCCAGCGCCTTCTCCGAGGCTTTCTGCTGATAAAAACCATCTCCCTGCCTACCTCCGCTCAAAAATCACCGCAGTCCTGCTGTGAACAGCCCGTCCTGCCTCACTCCGCGGGGGAAATACCCGACCCCTTCCCACCGTCAGCCCTGCCGGGGCGGGGGGGTAGTACCCACGGGTGCTGCGCAGAGGGTTTTAAGCCAGCCTGCAATGCGGTAACGCATCCAGATGTTCAGCATCAGCCTTTCCATCCTCCCCGAAAGCTTCGCTTGGAGAAAATACCCATATTGCATGAATAAAATGCAACACTTCGCTCTCTGGGGGGGGGCTTCCCTTCCCCACTCCCTTTGGCCACCGTCGAGCCTGCCCTTTTTTAGTTTTTTACTGTCTTTTTTGACTTTTTTAGCGTTATTTTGGTGCCTGGTTTTCCCCACGGGGCGTGAGGGCTTTAGAAAGCGAGAGCTGACTTCGAGCACAGGACTTTCCCGGCGTGGGACACGGGGTCCCAACCTGGCCGGACCGAAAGCCACGTACTTACGTGACTGGGACAGACCGCAACTTTACATTAACATCCTATTTATAATTAAGTTTATAGCAAGTTATGACCTGATTCATGGGCTGTAGACGCACATTAACGAAGGGTGAGTAACAGCCTTTGTAGATGGGGAGAGTCGGCAGGAAATAGTTGCGGGGTAGGTGTGATTAATCCCGTGCATACATTAAATATACATTAACCCTTTCATTCATAAATACAGCACGCACTGGAGAGACATTATACACTGTGACCCAGAAGTGTACGGCTGCTGGTTTGGTGGTTGGTTGGTTGGTTATTTTTTTTAAGCAACTCCCATTTTTTTAATCAGGAAAACTTTAAGCATCGTCTCAGACGCTCTTGCTATTTTCTGCTCTCAATCTGTGGCTTTGTAAGCGCTTTCGGTTAAAAAGAAAACCCCTCTTCCTCCGGCTGGTTTGCGACGCCCTTGCAAACGAAACCGCTAAGCGCCGGTGACGTCGGTTGCGCAGCTGTTGGGCATGCAGAAAAAAATAGTCTGATTTCTGCTGGTTTGGGGCTTGGACTGATAGAAGATCAAAAAGCTTCCGATGGCGGAGCGATATTATATTGGATAAGGTGCAAAAATGGGGCTGTCGGGTCATTCCCGGCATCCCGGCGCTGTCAGAGAGAGGGCATTTAGCCAGAGTTTTTCTGCGCGATGGAGGAATTTGTGCTCCGGCTGCCCTCTGCCGGCTCCGGGACTCGGTTGGGAAGGAGCCCAGACAGTGCAGTCTGTCAACAAAAAAATAAAACCCCACCACCACCGAACACCCTCTTACCAACACCGCGGCACAGCACAAAATACCAAATCCGGCCCCAAAAAACGACCCTCCCGTGGGCCATCGGCCAAATCACCGCACCAAGAGCGACCCGACTCCTGCTGCGTCTATAAAATCAAAAAAAGTGGCGGGTTGTTTTTTTTTTTTCTTTTTTCTTTTTAAATTTGCATTTGATGGGTTTGGAGTGTAGGGCGGATGAAAGAAACAAGGGGTTTTTAAAACTCGGGGGGAGTTTATTTAACTGTGAGTAACTAAATCAGTGCCCGCTCTCTGCGTCACTGCAGAGAGAAATGTTTAAGTGAAACTCCGAGGAAGTTCGAGAAGAAAGAGGGAAAAAAAAAAAATTACCCAAGGAAACCAAACCGGCCTCGGAAAAGGAGTTTAAAAAAAGAAATAAGTGATTATAGCCTCAGCTCCTCCACCACCGCTGCTCTGCCAGGGCTTTTTGTGTTTGTGACGAGCGCAGAGCCGTGCTGGGACATCGTATCTGCCCTTCTGCGCCTGGCCAGCCCCGCAGGTCGGGGTCCAGAGTACATTTTGGTGACGAAAACTCCGGTCCTGCAGCTATTTGGGGGTGCAGCGGGCACCCGGGACCGGCGGCGGGGTGCATCCCGGTGGGTGCACCCCTTTTTTTTTTTGCTGTCTGGTGCTGGAAGGCGGAGGTGGAGCCGCGGGGTTTTAGCAGGACGACTCGTTTCGCCGACGGACGTGGCAGGACTTGCAGAGGAGGTGGTCGCCCAGGGGGTAGCACCCGTTCTCCGTCGGCTCCGGCGACAGAGGTGTCCTACAGCTCTGGAGGGGAGAGGGGAAAGGGAAGCCACGTTTTCGGGGTCTCCACACCACCTTGCATCCCCCATCTTTCCTGCAAAACCCACCAGCGTTCGGAAAAAGCAACAAACTACGTCAAAAGCCTGAGAAGCTGAAGCTCTCCTGGCCAAACGCATCCTCCTTTTCACCCAATTTATTTCTTTTTCCCCCCTCCCCGTCTCTTGCAGGATAAACTGGAGGATAAACTTGCAGGATAAAACGCAACCCCGGGCGCCGTGAGCCTTGTGGCCGTGCTTTGCGCAGGCTCGCTGCCAAACCCCTCGGCTTTTGGGGTCCCGTACCTCACAGCGGTAGCAGCTCTCGTGGAAACTGCGTCCCAGGCACTCGATCTTGTAGGTGTCCTTGTCCTCGCCGGGAACGATGGGGTGCTCGCAGGCGCTGCAAACCGCAGCGTATTTCCTGACGGGAGCAAAGCAGGGCGGTGTGAGCCCTGGGGGGTGACGGGGACAAGGCAGACCACCCCAAAGTGGGGGTTGCTCCCCCGGTTTCCGCGCTCCCCAACCTGTAAAAGTCGGCCACGCAGTACACCTCGTCCCGCTCGTCCACGGCGAAGCTCTCGGCACCGATGGCACGGCCGCAGGCGGCGCAGGAGAAGCAGCCGGGA